ATTTATTTTTAGTTAGTTCTTTTAATATATATGTATGTTTTTAAAGATTTATTTGTGCATGCAAAACTGGGTACAGGCCAGAGGCTCAGGGGCAGCAAGAGGCTTCACCAGAGACAGAGTGGGGAGCAGAACAGGCAGATCAACGAAGTACACTGCTGAGGGGAGTAGTGGGCGGGTCAGGAGAGGTCTGCTGAGCCATGTGGTCACCTCCGGGGCAGGTGGGAATCGAGCTCATGTGGAAGTGGCTTTAGATTCTCAGTGCAGTGCTTTAACCCGCTGCGCCACCAGGGAGGGCCAATATATATGTATTTTTACGTCACTGTTCATTTTTGTACAATGAATGCACTTTCTCCTTTCAGGTGTAGTGCTGTAAAATTCCCACCACCAATCACACGTGCACCATCACCACAGTTCCTTGTGCTCTTCCTACCCTTGTTTTGATTCCTCTGCAAACCCCACCCGTACATATTGGCTCTGATTTATAGTTGCCTAATTTTGTTTTATTATTTATTATTATAGTATTATTATTTTCCCCCTTATCCCTTATTTGTTTTTTCTATGTTCTGTCTATACATGAAACCATTCGCTATTTTTCTTCTTCCTTTTGGCTTATTTTACTGAGCATAATTCCTTACAGCTCCATCCATGTTGCTGTGAATGGTATGAGCTTATCTTTTTGATTGCTGAATAGTATTCCATTGTGTATGTGTACCACATCTTCTTGATCTAGTTATCTAATTTTGGGCATTTGGGATATTCCTCAGACAGGGGTATATGTGCTTATCATGCTATTCTACATTATACTGGAGGTTGTTACAGGGAAATTAGGCAAGAACAAGAAATAAGAGTTATACAATTAGAAAGGCAAAAATGAGCTACCTTTATGCTCGGAGAACTAAATCTTCTAGATAGAAAATCCTAATGCAGTCACCTTTTAAAAAATGTATTATAACTAATAAGTGAGTACAGCAAGTTTGAAGGATAACAGGTCAACATATAAAAATCCACTGTATTCTATATCCTAGCAATGAACAGTCAAAATGAAATTAAGAAAATAGTTCCACTCATAGTACTATCAAAAAGAATAAAATACTCAGGAATAGCTTTAACAAAAGATGTGTAAAACTTATACTGTTAGACATTTCAAACATTACTTAAGAAGATAACTTTTTTTAACTATTGAAGATTGCATTATATTCAACACAAATCACAAATATTCAAGGCATTTCACAGTCACTGCAAAACATTGTTTAAAGAACTTAAGGAAGCTTAACCAAATGGAGACACATTGCATCTTTGTGGTTAACTTGATATGGTTAAGGTGGGCATTTTCCATAAAGTGATGTAAGACACAGTGCAATCCCTAGCAAAATCCCAGATGCCAGATGCCTCTTTTGATTTTTTTTTTTTGCAAAAATTGAGAAAATTTATATGGAAATAGAAAGGATGCAGAATAGCTGTGACAAGCTGGGGAGAGAAGAACCTGTACGTCCCAACGACAAAACTTACTACAAAGCTACTGTCATCAAGACAGTGTGGCACTGGAATAAAGACAGACATTTAAATAAATGCTAGAGAATTGAGAGTCCAGAGATAAGCCTTGATATCACAACCAACTGGTTTTCAACAGTAACCAGGTGATTTCATGGGGGAGAAGACAGTATTTTAGCAAATGGTACGTGGGCATCTGGCCAGCTACATGAAAAAGATCCCATACCACACACACGAAATTTAACTAAAATGTGTCATCGAACTAAATGTAAGAACCAAAATTATGAAGCTCTTAGAAGTAGGCAGAGCAGGGCCCTCCCTGGAGGTGCAGCGGGTTAAAGGGCAGCCCTGTAAGTGAGCCACAACCGCTTCAGAGCTGGTTTGATCCCCGCCCTGAGGTGACCCACACGGCGCAGCAGATCTCTTGTTAACCGCTGCTTCCCTCAGCAGTGTACTTCATCCATGTGTCTGTTCTGCTCTCCATTTTATCTCTGGTGAATCCTCTCAGCCCCACCTCTGGCCTGTACCCCAGTTCTGTATGCATACACAAATAAATCTTTAAAAAAAAAAAAACAAAAGAAGTAGGCAGAGCAGTGACCTAAGTGAGCTTAGCTAGGCAATGATTTCTCACATGATATTAAAAACCTAAACGACAAAAGAAAAAAACAAATAAATTGAATTTCATGATGGCCTCTAGTGGATATAAAATATAGCCATATTTATAATTATTGAGTCTTTTCTGAAACAACAGTAAAAGAAATTCCTATTATACTCTAGTCAGGGGTCATTTTGGTGGTCCCTATGGTGAAATGATTTTTTTTTAAAGATTTATTTATGTATGCTCAGAAGGATTGGGGTACAGGCCAGAGGTGCAGGGGTGGAGGTATGAGAGGATACATCAGAGACAGAGTGGAGAGCAGAACAGACTGACAAAATACACCGCTGAGAAGGAGCAGTGGTTGAGACAGGAGAGGTCTGCTGTGCCATGTGGGTCGCCTCTGGGGCCGGGGATTGAACTTGTGCTGCAGTGGCTGGTGATAGCAGAGAGACTTTAACCTCTGAGCCATTGGGGAGGTCTCCTCCCAACCTCCATTTAATTTTGTTAAATGAATAAATTTCACTGTGAGGCTTATTATCCTCCTTGCTTCATGGAAGACAGAAGATGAGGAGAAATCTGTTGGGGGAGGCTAGGCCCCCAAACTGAAGAAAGAACACTGGTTGGGGAGACCAGGAGGTTTCTGACCACCAGGTCAGAAGACTTGCTGTCAGAAGCCACATTGGAAATTAAAATTGTCATCATTTATTCCCTGTTGTGGGACTGTTGTGACAAACACATCTCTACAAAACACGAAAGTCAGAATCTCAAAAGCTTCCATTTTTTGAATGCTAAAGCTTATTTGCATATCAAAACTGCCTTAGGATAGTAAGTAGAATTAGAGAATTAAGGAATTACATTAGAAGGGAGAGATAGAATTAGGACAAATGTGTAGAAGTACAGAGTACTGTCACCAAAAAGCTGGTTCCAACTTTAAATCAACCACCCAGCAAGATTCAGAAAGAGCAAGATTTAAATGATCACGGCTGTTGAGTTTTGATAATACAATTATCACAAATTTATTTTCTAAGTCAAAGACAAACAAATCTTTTTCATTAAAAAATATGTATCTCTACAACTTTACTCCCTCTAGTGGATCTAGAACACAA